CTTTGGATATTGACTTTAGGATCCATATTTCTGCCTATATTATGAAATAATTTCTGTTAATAATATAAAATACTTGGCACATATTTTAGTCTGAGTATCCTCTGTGTGTGTATGTGTTCTTTGTATATGTTTTACCATACTAACCACTTTACCTTGAATGTTGAGTTTTTCTGTGCTTGTAGCAGGCAGTCCTGTTGTCTTCCGCACACTCTGGGACTGGGACATAAAGAGTCTGGTCTCTCTCATGAGCATGTTTTTCCACCCTCCAGAATCAGTTTCATGTCTTCATCCTGTCCTACTCCTGCTATCCTGGTTTTTGTCTGGTTTTTAAGCAGATTGTTTTGCTTGTAATGCTTCCAAAGTGACTGCTCATACTGTAGATTCAAGGAAGAATACCAAACAGTAAAATGAATAAACAGACAGCTCGTTTTGTCACTTCTAATTATAACTGATGACAAAAGAAAGTGAATATTCTTTAGTCAGGAATCTTGTAAGTGGACGTGCATTTGAGTTAAAGCTGAAAATGCACACTCTTTTTGAGGTGAGACTCTGACCTTTTCTAGACCTAAAAAGGTACAGTGGAGACGAGATGTTTCTTTGGGTGCAGTTTCATAATTGACATTAAGTTCATTATCAAGTGGGGTCGGTTCTCCACCTTCCACTTGCATGTTGCTGATGCCTCCCTTCTGCATTATTGTTTGTATAGTAGCAAAAACCTCTTGAGTAAAATGAATGTTCAGAATTTGGATCACTGTTCTTACCTGACCGTTCAGCCTCAACCGCAAGTGTTGGGACAAGGGAACAGGCAGACCTGCGTGGCCAGGAGAAGGGCAGAACTGACTTTTCCAACGTGAATTGGAGGTGATCTGTGCATGTTGTGAAACTGCCCTGACCCCTTTCTGAAAAGCGCAGTTCTGTTTTTCACTTGGTGTATAATGACTTTCCAAGTGAAGAGTGAAAACAGCTCTGCTGGAGACTAACTTAAAAGAAAAAAAAACAAAAACAAGTTTTTCTGGCAAGTGCACATTTCCCCAGTCCTTTTGTAGGAGCAATGATTTTGGACAGTGTAAGTCTCTTATCTCCATCTAAAGCACAAGAAAAGAAGCCAGGTTTGTTGGGCAGTAAATTACCCTGCCTCTGCCCAATTTGTATGCAGTAAAGAAAGCACTGCTTAACAATAAATGAGCGAGCACTAATGTAACATTAAGGCATGATTCGCATCAGTGCGACGACGGAAATAAAATGCAAAGTTTAACATGTCTTCTGCCATGAACCATCTGTTCAGCTGTCCCATTGCACCACATCTGTCTGGGCTGCTTGTAGCGGCTGTCCCATCGAGGCCGAGAGCGCTTCCAGAGGTGGATTTGGGGGGCTTCTCTCTGAGAAGAAGGGGAGCAGTTTTGTTCTGCTTAGCTTTGTTGCTTTCCTTTAGAGCTTGATAGAAGCAGAGCACATGTGCTGGATAATAAATGCCAGCTCCTCCTGTCCCTGCCGGCTCCTCAGTGGAAGGAGCCCAGTAGCAAGTGTGTGGTCTCAACAAGAAGTAGATTTGGAGACAGGTTCCTGGTCCTGTTCCCAGTTCTGTGTTGGCTCGTTTGTAAGCCATTTAACCCTTCTGTCTTGATTTCATTTTCCCCTATCTGTAGAAGTGCCACCTGACAGAGGTTTTTGACTAATAGGCATTGGCTATTTCTGAGCTGCTTTTTAGAGAAAATACAGGGGGATTTAATCAGAGAAGGAAGTTGAGGAGGTTATATATATTTTAAGATAGCTTCCAACACCAGTTCCCTCTTTGGTGGTGGACTTTTTAATCTTTATTTGTATCACGAGTTCTATGCACTTCAAAATACCCAAACAGCGTATTTCAGAAGTCCCATTCCAAAGTTCTCAGGCACCTGGAACAAGACTGGTCCCAAGGGCAGGGCTTCAGCTGCAGCTTTGGGTGTCCTTGTGTCAGGTGGAGCTCAGGGCAAACGTTGTGCTCTTGCGTGTGTCTCTTCCCTCTCTTTTTGTGTTTCTGAATGTGTCATGTTTATCATAAGGCTTGTTACATTAAACTTGCCCGATCAAAATACCGCTTCATGTCGTAAAGTTGTGGTACTCGTATTGTGCCATTGCATTTTTTAAAAGTTGATTAGAAGAGGGTCGTGTCCTGCATCTGACAACTTTGATGGCTTGTAAACAGTACAAGCTTTTGGTTGAAGGGGGGAGTTTTCTCTCTTACCTAATATTCGTGTGCCATCAAAAACGTGCTTACAAACTGCAAGGAGATGTGCACAGACTGTCAGCCTGAATCGGTGGTGTGGGTGGTTCTTGGCAAAGCACATGAGTCTCTGAGACTGGTGAGGAAATTTTTAACCGTGGTGTCACAAACTTGATGCGTTAGCAACAGATATCATTTTCACAAGCCTCTGCTCTCTTAGGGAGTGCAGCGTGCGAGCGGTGTTCACAATCTGCATGCAAAACGCACAGTGGTTGATAGCATGAAGTCATGTCTTTTAATACACACTGGCTAGAAGAGCACCTTGGTGTAACATTGGGAAGCTTTGGCTTCGGGGCTTAATTAGACCTCGACAACGGAGCTGTGTTGTGCATGGAAAGTCTGTTTGAAGAATGCCAGTGAACTGAAAGTCAGAGCAACCATTCTGTTAAAACAATGCTTAGCTCTTGCCCCGTGTGGTTTTATTTGAGAGCTGAATGCTGATGTGAGTGAAGTGAAATAGGATAACACTGTGCTTTCCATCCTTTTTCTTCCCTCTTTCCATGCACGCAAAAAAAAAAAAAAAAAAAATTCAGAAGGGGCATGAACTCGGCTAACCTGGTAGGAACTATTTCAAATTAGTAAGATAAAATGCGACCTCTTTACTAGTGCACAGACTTCATGTAAATTAAAGTCACTTGGGGATGAGAGCCCCATAGTGCACCGGGGCCATTTAAGCCTGGCAGTCATTTTTGAAATGGTGAAGATCGTGGTAGTTCCAGAAAAATGCAGGGAGAGTAATGTGAGAAAATTCGCATTGATGGCAGCGTAACTCAGAACGGAGAGAGGAGTGTGTCTGCCTTGCTGTCTAGCTGTTACGGTCTGTCGGCATTTGAGCATCACCAGCATGCCTGAACAAAGAAAGGGTTTGCACTGGTCCCTCAGCTTTTTGGTGAGGTATAGATTTATTGGGATCTGGAGTGGGGTGGTGGGAACCCAAAGGCACCAAAAGCTGTAGTTTTGGATGAGTCGGCATTTCCATTTGACATGACCATTCAGAGATTTTTGTAACTCATCCAAAAAAAACCCCAAACAAATAAAAAAAACAGTGACCTGGGTCTCAGCCTGAAATTCATTTGCTTTGCAGAAACAAGAGGTTTTGAGTTATGCAAGTGCAAATTTTCCTTGAAGAATATTGTATGTAAATCCTTTTTTTTTGCATTTGTTTATCTCCAAAACAGGTTCATTTTTTAAAATGAAAACTTGAGCCTTCGGTCCCTCCTGTGGACAAATAGCCTTACACAAGGTCTTGTTTCATTTTAGAAAAATGAATTGCTGCGCCGGTGGGGTAGTATTTGATTGCTTTAAAAGTTCCTGTCAGTGTTTTATTTTTGTTTTTCGTTTGTGGAATTGCTGTGCCTTTTGCCCGGCCATATTTAGTCTGCATACTAAATGTTAGTCTGCCCAAACACTTTACTTTGTGCACTTAGCTTTTTTCCTTTTTTTTTCTTTCTCCTTTTTTCTTTCTTTTTTTTAATTTTTTTTTTCCTTTTGCTTTCACCCAGATGTATTTTAGACCAAGACAGACTTTGCTCCGTTGGGCCGGATTTTAGTCCGTGCACTAAATTTTAGTCCGCAGACTAAAAATAATCCGCGGATTATTTACTAAACCGATTCCCTCACTGAGAACTACAGAGACCTTAACCTCTTGCTGAGCCGTACGCACGAGGGCCTTCAGGGCTCACAAGTCCCACCGTCTGTCCGTCCTCCCACCCCTTCCCACCATGGAGCGCCGCCCGGCATCGCCTTGGCGGGCGCCCCATGGCACCGCAGCGCGCGCCCGGGTTGCCCCGGCCAGCAGCCACTCATGTAGTTCTCGGTGGGCGAATCGTGCAGCTTTCCCGGTGGAACTGCGTTGAATGGGAAGAGCTAAAAGATGGCAGGGGTTTTCGCTTGTATTTCTTAGGGCGTTATTCCAAAGGGAGGCGGGAGGGGACAAATTGAGGGGGGAAAAAAATTCTTAGGTAACGGGTGCGATGGGTATGAGGGGGAATAAACCCGCAATAGAGAGAAATTCAGTCCATACCCGCACTCCTGAGGTGGTACGTCCAGTTCCTGAAGAATCCTAAAGAGATAACGCCAGCAAACAAAATCCAGTGGCGGGGGAAGTCAATCCAAAATGGAGAATAATCCGCGGCGGCCTGAGGCACTCGTAGCTCATGCAAATTGAAAGCATCCAAATTGGAAGTACAGATCTCGAATTTTTACTTTCTCTTCAGCACAAATTATAAATTGCTAGGGGTTTGGTTTTTTGGGGGAAACAAAACAAAACAAAACAACCCAAAAAGTTTATGCTGTGTCTCTGGGACAGATTTACAAGTGGGATGCACCTTTGGGGACAAACTAATCTGGCCCCATTGTCTGTGGACGTTTCTATCCAGGACCAAGGACTGAAAATTCTTTGTGATGGAAATTTCAATTACCCTTTTAGTTCAAGTTTTGATTTCGATTTTTTTTATTTTTTTAGTAAATGCACTGGCATTGGAACATAAATTTAATATAGAAATGTTTCTATACTATGCCTCACCATTGCACAATCAATTTTTTTGGCATACACTGTGGTGAAGTTGGGCTTGCTGCTATGGAGACTGATGTTTAAAGTTTCTAATTGTATAAACATTTTCTATGTCCCCCACACCATGGATTTCTTATAATATTGGCTATATTTTTCCTTGCTGGACTATTCTCTTTTGGATTGACTCCCCCTGTTTGGATTATTTCACTGCATTATCATCTTTAGGACTCGTCAGGAACAGGACATTTCACCTCAGGAGTACGGGTATGTACTTAAACATTTTTTCAAATTACTAGGCCTAGCCTTGGCAAAAAAAAAAAAAAGAGAGAAATGTTAGAAGTGGAATATTTGAGTTCCTTGAGGCAACAGTCAGCCGAACGTTGTAACGCGAGGTGATGGAGACAAAATGGACACTTCGTGTGCTGGTCACTGCTCTTTGCAGGGGAAGTGTATTTTTCCAATGTATTTTTTATTTTTCCCTTCCCTGGTTCCAAGCAGTTAGGGCAGACTTCAGGAACTGCCTACTGCAAGGAACTAATTTCTGGTCCAAAGGCAGGCTGAGAAGTTCTCAACACGTTTTAGGAAACAGGTGTTAAGGTTTCACCGACATGAAAATCAGCGAGTTGACAGTGGACAGTAAGAGCACTCCTTTTACAGATGGCAGATTTGTGACTGTCTGCCTCCTAATTTGCTCAAAATAAGGGCTTGTCGTCTTTGCCTGAAGGATAAAAAAAAAATATTTTTTTTCTTTTTAAAATCTGATAGGCGAGCTGTCCTGGGGGAAAAACACAGCTAAAGTGAAGTACTTCAGCTTCAAGCCGGGGTAAATCAGGGCTGTTAAATCACCTGTGGGAAGGTGTGTGAGGCAGACTCCATGTTAAATATAGAATTCTAGAACAGTTTGGGTTGAAAGGGACCTCAAAGATCATCTAGTTCCAACCCCCCTGCCACGGCAGGGACACCCTCCACTATCAAGTGACTTCACTTCTGTGGATCTACCCCAAGACACACTCAGTTGTGCTACTTATCCTGGGGTACAAAAAAAAAAAATAAAGAGCTGGTTTGTTTTGGGGGGGTTTTTCCTTAATTGGAGACAGTTTTAGGTTTTGTTCTGGTCAGGCCATGACTTGGGAGCAGTACTTGCACCCACTGGGCACTGCGGTCGTCAGTCCGAGCTCCGCAGA